CAACCTGTGCAATTAGCCGGGGCTGGGAAGCCTCAGAGAGGCAGGATTTCCAGAGGTTCTGAGCAGGGAGTCCAGAGGTTTGGGCCCCGAACACTGAGATGTCACAGTGAAATATGATTTTGCCTTGATTTTGAGGTCCTGCCCTTGGTGTCTGACTAGACAGGAGACAACCTTTCAGAATGGAGGCTGAGTGGTACAGAGCCCTAAATGTGACATCTCTCCTCTCTCCTCACCACCCCACCCCCACCCCCCGCCGAACATGGATCAGTACCTCAAGGCCAGCTTGTCTAAGTCTGGCCTCAGGATCCCACCCCAGCTTCTGACCCGGTGCCTGCTCCCTTTCCCCGGTCCTGATTGTGCACTATCCTTCTCCAGACAGCTCTGCAGTGACCAGTGAGTCACCCTAGAAGCCTTCCTCTTCCTCACCTCCCTCCTCCATCAGGCATAACCCTTGGCGGGTCCCGTGCCTGGGGTGGCTGGCACCCTGGGGCTCTCCATAGTCACTGCTGCTGCCCTAGCCCAGCTCTTCTCACTCGATCCAGTTGGTGTCCACCCACCAACCCTTCTAACCCTAAATTAGGAGAAACCAAAAGTCAACTTAGGCTGAAATATATAGGCAAACCAAAAGGTTGCATTACCGATAATGCAATGAACCTACCACCAACCCTAAGACACAAAAACTTGCTGATGAAATCAAAGCTCTCTGTGTCCTGCTTCTGACTTACTCCACCCTCCAACCTCTTCCTTCCCATTCTCAAGTGACTTCTTTTTATTTTTTCCTTTTCAGTGTGACCTAACGCGATCACTCCGTTTAATGTTGTAGTTCAGAATTCAAATCCTCCAATAACTTCTGCTCCTTTTTTTTTGTTTTTAATACATTTTATCAGGGCAAGGAAGTTCTCTTCTGTTTCTAGTTGTTGCCATGAACAACTTTTGAATTTTATTGAAAGCTCAGTGTCGACTGGATGCTTCTGTAGTTTTTCTCTTCTAATCTGTTAATGTGGAGTTTTATAGAACAAGATATCCTTGCATTCCTGGGCTAACAGGCAGGGTTTTAATCAGATGATTAACATGATCTGATTTACATTCTGTAAAGTTCACGCTGGCCTCTGTGTGGAGAATGCATTGTAAGGAGCAAGAGTGAAAAGAGAAAGATTAGCCAGAGGGCTGTGACAGTCCTCCCACGGACAGAGGACAGGGGGAGTAGAAATGGAGATAAGTGGGAGGATTAGAAAGATATTTTGGAGATAAAACTGACAGAACTCATTGAAGGATTAGAGGAAAAGGGAAGGATTCAGGGTGATACTGGGTTTCTGGTTTGAGCAAGTAGATGGTCCCATGGTCTGGGAGGACAGAAATGAAAGTTCCGTTTTAGACATGTTAGGAATCAGATGTCAATTGGACACTTAAGTACAGATACGGAGGAGAAAGTTAGATATCTGAGGGAGCAGCTCAAGGACCAGTCTGAGCTGATGGTCTAGATTAGGGAGTTTAAAGCCATGGCCATAGATGTGAGCAGCAAGGGAAAGGGTGAGTTGGAGAGACGGGGACACAGGGCCAAGCTCAGGGAGCTGTGGTATCGGTCGGGCAACAAACAAAGGGGCAGCAAAGGGGACTGGACACAAGGAAGGTGGAAGGGTGGGAAGGGTGGGATGAGAAGACCAGAGGGGAGAATGGCAAAGACAGGATGGCCAGTGGTGTGGTTGGCCAACGGTGTGAATGGTCAGCGGTGTGAAAGCTGTTGCGAGGTAGAGGGTGACGAGGGCAGAGGGGTGTCCAGTGGTGACCAATGAACATTTCCAAATGTTGTTATTTTGTGCAGTCAGTATGTGAGAGAAAAACCAAGGACCACTTGCACTAGCACTGGATAAAGCAGACATCTCCTTAGCCCCCTGTATGAATTTCTGGAGGGAGGGAGGGCGATATTTCTAAATGCCTACTTAAAAGAACACCCCTAGATTTGCCTCTGGTCACCAGGTCCCAGGGCTCTTGTGGCTGTGCTATACCATCTTTAGTTTGATTTTGCCATCTCTTAAGCTTGACTCATGGAGCTATAAATACTAGTTTCACACACACTGGGCTCGTTCTACATGTAATGTACCCTGAAGGACCATGGGGTTCACAGAGAGGAGCGCTATTTACCTCTGCCCTGAAGGCCCATTTAAAAAATGAAACTGAGTTTAAATTACCTTCATTCAGACACTTTCATGACATACCCTTTGAGATAACGTTTACGACTGACATTGGAAGTCCTTGCTATGGGATGCCAAGACAATTGCGGGCACAGGCTGTAGGTATACATGCAGGTTACCAGGACCTGAGAGGCAGCTTTGGCTTAACTGGGTGGCGTTCAAGCTTCAAGTTTCTGTCTTACGATTTATGTTTGGCAGAGAAAGTGGTAAGGTTCTCCTCTCAGCCATGCTCATTTAGTTGTTCCAATTTCAACAAGCCTTCCCTTTCTTAAACAACCAAGATGATTCTCAACAAAGGCGATTTTCTGCTTCTCTGGTTCAATTCAATTTATCTTTTTAAAAGCCATTAGTACCCCTTTAGAGTTCCTTTAAGCCCGACTAATTGTGCCTGAGTTCAGGAGTTAAAGCTTCTCTCTATTCATTTAGACAACTGCAATAATATCTAATTAAAGTCCAGGCCAGACCAAAAAATGTACATTTTCAGTAACATAGTCTTAGCTTTTGAGTATTTAAACTTCCACTAGTGAAAGAAGAAAGGGAATCCATTTTTATTTTCAGGCATTCCCAAGAAGGGTGTATTTCTAATTAACCAAGCATCAGAGGAATTGAAAACTAGTACAACTAGAGTATTTAAATATGCATTAAGAAAAATTCCACTATTCACTTGAAACTAGTTGGTAGACCTACGTGTATCGGAAACACCATGGAGCTTGTATTTTTCCTTTGTAAACCAACACTACTGGTTTACTTAAGTGCAGTAAGGCAATTTGAGCTCACCAACTTGCTGATCCAATTAGACAGACCTTTGTACATTGTGGACAGCTTTAGAGAAGATCTAGGTTTTTGGAAAAACAACTGGCCTTGGGGTGCTCTGTGTTTCCAGGAGAGAGACCAGTTGAAAGGGAATCATAGAATTTTAGTGCTCAAATCATCTTAGAATAGTTACTCATGGTTTTACAGGCCAACAAACTCTTTAATGGCAAAGGCAGGATTTGTAAAGTTGATAATTTTATTCCCAGCCCTTTGGACTTTTGAGGCAGGTGGCAGAATGACTGAGCTAAATCCCTGGCTGCCCTTTGGACTTTTCATTAGAGTGATGGTTCTTGACCATGCAGCACATTTGAATTATATAGGGAGTTAAACCAAACAAAAACAAAAACCTTCAGGGATAGAGACTTATGGCTGGGAAGCTGGTTGGGTACTGGAACTTTTAAACATTCCCTTTCCTCACTCTGGGTAGTAGAGGCAGGGAAAAGGGCAACTGAGTTGCAAGGTACATACTACATATTTACAAGATACAGCACTCTAATCCAGTTGACCCCACCTACTACTGGTACAAACTCCTGGGTTAAAGGAGACTTATTGAAGTTCAACCCCCAGACTTCATTTTTGAGTTACAACATATAGCATTCTTTTCTTCAGTGTAGAGGACCTGGAACTGATTTCACCTTGGCTCCTAGACTATTGTATTCATTTGGGAAACAGAATGGCCTTGCAGAAATGTACAGGTTACAGGAGCTAAAAGAATCATCTCATCTCCTAGGAGCCAATTAGGATTCCTGAATGGGGAAACTCCCATTGAAAAAAAAAAGAAAAGTAAAGCACCAGGAAGAGAAACACTGAGAATTACTCTGAAACACTTCCCATGGAATCTGTGAGGGTGGGAGGCTCTAGGAAAGTTTGGCAGAAAGCTGAGCAGCAGTTTGACAGGCAGTGAGTACAGGAGACAGAGTGACCACCAAAACCCAGCGCCATGACACAACCTGAGACAGCCAGACACGTAAACACATATGATGTATTGATTTTGGCAGTGGCTCCCATAACTTTATATGTCAGAAGCCAACCAAGTTCAAAACCATTGGCAGCCCAGGTCTAAAGTTGAACTGAGAGCTGATAGGCCCAGTAGGCCTCCTGCTCAATTCTGGAGGCTTGTATCTGCTTTGAGGGTCTAGCACCTGGCCGAAAAAGTGAAAGAGCCATGAAACATAAGCCCTAGCTTGCTAACCTTTCTCAACAGTTCCTAATAAACCATTCACTTAAAGGAGTTGAAAGTTTCCTCTCTTCTATTGGGTGGTGAGAAATAAAAAAGCAGCTCCCTCAACCTGTCTAACTGGTTCTGACACTTGTTACAGGTCCAGCACCTTTATATAATATATAACCAGGGACACCAATCCCAGTCTGTTTGGCTCTGTTCAGGGCAATGCCCCAAATCCTGCAACACACACACATAATCTCCAAGCATAGACTTTTTTTTTTGCCTCTCTCTAACAATCCCAGAGGTTTTAGGGTCACATGTTCATCTTCAGGATCTATGGGAAAGCAAATCATTTTAAGAGAAGCATTTCGTAGTAACAAAGAATAGTAAGAGTGACATGTGAATGACAATCATAGAAACAGCCAATTAACTGGTAAATCCCTGTTGTCTGCAGGCTGAACCAGGAATGCAAGTGGGAGGCAGGAAAGCAGCTGCAGCCCAATTAAACTCAGTAGCTCAGACACCTCAGGAGGATTCTCACTTCTGGTTTACCTAAACAGATCTGTTTTCTCGGAGATCTTAGGGGACTGCTGAACAGAAGCACTGGCTCTGATGATTTCCTCCTTTATTACTGGTGGCAACTGAGCTAAAATATGCATATAAGCGAATGGAGAGGATGGCAGGGTGAGGAGCCTCAAAAACTCAGTTTTCTTGGCATCTGGGTAGAAGAGAGTTGGCGGCTGCTCGATCCTGCAATAAACCAGACTGAAGAAACTATGCACACACACAACCCAACAGAGGGAGGACAGAGAATGAACAGAACTGGCACTCACTTAGCAAATCTGCGAGAGTCCGAATGATCCTTCAGTTAATGAGCTGGAGATACCAAATACCTCGTTAAGAAATGAACTCGAAGAGAAAGACGATCTTATGCAACCCAAAGAGTTGGCCATCCTGGTCAGGCTTCTCTCTTCCTGTGTCTAGCACATTTGGTTCCCCCATATTTCCTGCATATAAAGAGAGTTTTCCAACTTCAATGCCTGAGTGAAATAACCATAGATACTTGCTCAGGGCTTGTTTCCTGCCCATAGCAGTGCTCCGCTAAAGCAGTTTCTCATCTGGCCCTGCACCATCTGGGTCAGCATCACTACTTGACTACTTGACTTTTTACCCCCAATCTAGAATCAAAACCTTCTTGGTGCCCACAAACCTGTAACTATTTTTAGGAAAATTTAAAACTTTGTTTTACTATTTATCATGAATATATTAGAGAGAGTAGTGTAATGGACCTCGTTTCCATCATTCAGCTTCAACAATATTCTGTTATTCCTGTCTTAATTCTACCCAACTGCACCATGTTTTTTGTTATCGTTGTTGTTGTTGTTTGGTACCGTGGATCAAACTCTGGTCCTTGTGCTTGTGAGGCAGGTGGCGGAACCACTGAGCTAAATCCCCGCCCTTGTACCACACTTTTGGAAGGGGTGAGAGAATATTTAAAAGTGAATCCTAGACATCTTATCCTTTCATGCATCACTTCTTCAGTGTGTTCCTCCAGATGAAGGGACATCCCAGCCTCCCTTCCCTTTTTTTTTGAGGGTCTTAAGTTGCCCAGGCTGGCCTGGAACTTGCAGTCTTCCTGCTTTAGCCTTCCAAAGTGCTAGGACTACAGACATGTGTCACCACACCCACTTTTTTATTCTTTTAACATAACCACGATGCCATCATCACACTCAACACTAGTTATAATTTGTTAATATTATCAAATTCCCAGTCCACATTCAGTCTTTCATAGCAGTCTCAAATATGTCTTTTTGCATTTGTTTTTTTCAAGTCAGGATCTCTGAAAAAAGAAATCCACATACTGTGTTTGGTTGGTATGACTCTTTTAGTTACACTCCATTATTTTAGGGACATTTATTTGTTGAGGAAACTGTAGCATTCCTCCTGTAGAATTCCCTATATTCTGGATTTAACTCATTGTATCCTCATGGTGCTGTTCTTAACATGTTCTCCTATCTCTCTTATTTTCTGTAAGCTGATGGTTGAAGCCTGATTAGATTCAATTGTTTTTTTGGCAAGAATATTTTACAGGTGGAGGAACATTATTCCCAGCTGTTCTACTGCTAGTTAAAATTCATCAGTGGGTTCAAGTGCTGTCAGCGTGATCTACTCATTATAAAGTTGTCCATCAACATTTTATTTAATAGTTTTAACAGCCAATTTGGTCATTGCCTGGTTCTGTTTCGTGGTGATTTTCTAATTCTCCTTCCTCCTGCATTTACTAGCTGTGATTTTTCTACAGAGAAGAAGTTTCTTTTGCAAGCTATTTGGTTACCAAGAGATATATTCTATACAGGAAAGGCAAGATAAAACCTTTTATATTTCCTTTTATTTTTTATTTTTATATTTATCAGAATGATTGATGCCCTAAAACTCCCCAAAGATGGCCAGTGAAGTTTTCTTTCTCACGGACTCTTAAGTTTTTACATATTTGATGTGGTTTAATCTATACTGTTGTTATTCTTTTTCATGTTCAGGCTGTCCTGTCTTTGTCCAGCGGAGGTCACTTCAAGTTGGTTTCTGGGTTGGTTCATAGGAGCCCATAGTGTCGATAAGTTTCTTGATTTTAGGTATGACATGATGGTCCAGGTCCATTCACCCTAGATCTATAATTACTCATTTTTCCAAGGAGCTGTGATTCTTTTTAGTGGGAAATAGTACTTAGAGTTACAAGCTGGGGTCTAGGGATGCTCATTGGTTATCACTGGTTATCAATCTTGGACAGAACTAGGACACTTGCACTACTTAGAGAAAGATAAATTATAAGTTTATAATTATATTTCCAAAGGCAATCTAAGATTTCTTTGTGCCTATGTTTATCCTCACAATATTGTAAAATTCTTCTGTTCATATCTATAGTAGCAACTTGATATACAGCTAAATTTGCTTTAGATTTTTAAACGAACTTTTCATTTTTATGTCTTTGATGTACATAAAAATGGTGACGATAGTACAGAGTTCCCACATATGCCACACCCAGTTTATCCCATCATTAACATCTTATATTGATGCAGTGCTTTTGTCACAGTTAATGAGCCAATGGTGAAACATATGAAAGTTCACAGCTTATTTGGATTTCTTTAGTTTTTATCTGATGTCCCTTTTCTGGCCCAGGATCCCTGCTAGGACACCATATTGCATTTGGACATCATATTTCCTTAGGCTCCTCTTGGATGTGACATTTTCTCAGACTTTTCTTATTTATGATGACCTTGATAGTTTGTAAAATGTCACTCAGTTGGGATTTGTTTGATGCTTTTCTCATGACGAATGTGGGATTATGTGTCTGGGGAGGGAAGACTGCAGAAATAAAGTGTCAGTTGCATCACATCCTGCCGAGCCTACATCCTGTCAACGTGATGCTGACGTTGATCACTTTGCTGAGGTGGTGTCTGTCATGTTTTTCCCTGTGGCTTTACTCTTCCTTCCCCTTTTCATACTGTACCCTTTGGAAAAAAGTCATTATGCATGGCCTACCTTTAAGGAGTAGAGAATTCTACTTTATCTCCTTGAGGGTAGATATCTACATAAATTATTTGGATTTTTTTTACATAAAAGATTTGTCTGCTCTGTTATTTATTGAAGTTTTCTTTATGTCAGTATAAAATCGTAGCTATTTATTTTATATTTGAGATTATAATCCAACTCTTTTATTCAAATTGGTCTAACATTGGCCTGTGGGAACTCGTCAGTTTGTTTTTGTGTCCTTTTTACATGTCCCCATAATTCTTTTTTGAGCACTTCCTTGCTTTCTGACATGACAAGAAGCTCCATAATTGTCTTGGATATTTCCTACCTCAGTGGTAAAACTAATCTTTTCTCTACAGAGCCTGGTTCCTTTTGTTAGAGAACGGTGTTAGAAACCAAGATCTGGGTGTTAGGTGTGCTACTTGCTACTGAGTCTTCTCAGCCAATGGGCCAAGGAAAGAGAAGTGTACGTACTAACCTGTGTATATAGACACATGTGTAAATATTTCTGTGTATAACCATCTGTGTCTATATTAAGCTAAACATGAGTTCATACTAGAGTCTCTACTGTCAGTCTATTGCCACAGGGATCATTCTGGCTTCCTCTCCTTGCTTCTCTGTGACCTCCCACAGCAACAGTGAGAGCATGGCTCTGTTCCATTTTACTTAATTGTCCAATTCCAGGATCCATATATAGCTGTTTCTGTTTTTAAATGTTTTCCTTAGCTTTAATTTGGTTTTTGAGTTATGTAAAGTATTTGATTTCAGAGTCAAAACTATAAAGCAAGATTCATTCAGGGAGATCTCTTAATCCCCACTGATTTCTCCCTACAGAGACAATAATTTTTATTATTTTTCAGTTTATACTTTCATTGTTTCCTTGTGAAAATATGTATAAGCAAATATAAGCGACCTATAATCCTAGCACTCTGGGAGGCTGAGGGAGGGGGACTGGAAGTTCAAGACCAGCCTGGGCAACTTAGCAACTTAGTGAGACCTTGACTCAAAAAAATTTAAAAAGGCAAGGGATTTAGCTTAGTGTAAAGGCTCTGTATTCAACTCCCAGTACCATATCAAGAAAAGCAAATATATAAATATTTATATATTTATATGCTCCATCCATTCTTGGGCAAATGGTAGCATATGATATGCATTTTTCTTCACCTTATTTTTTTGTTCACTTAACAATAGCTCCTGGAGATCATCCAGAACAGTCTGAAGTGATCCTTCTTCATTCCCACATAAGACTCTTTATATGGGTGTACCATAATTATTTAGCCAGGCTTCTATTGATTGACATTGGCTTTTTTTTTTCCTTCCAGATTTTTCCTTTTATAAACAATACTACAAAGAATAGCTTTGCACATACAGAATTTTTGCCGGTGTATCTTCAGGATAGATTCCCAAAAGTGACATTACTGAGTGGAAAAGAATGTACATGTAATACTGTTAGATGCTGCCAGGTTCCCTCTGTAAGAGAGGCGTCATTTTGCTTTCTCCTCATCAGTGTCTGAGAGGTTGCTTTTCCCTGCAGCTTTGTAATCAAAATATGTTGTCACACTTCTGGGTTTTTGCCTGTCTGACAGGTGATAAATAGTGACTCAGTGAGTCTTCGCCTATCCTTATAATGAGGTCCGGCATCTTTTCATCCATTTAAGCATCACTTATTTTGTTATTATTTGGTGAGCTGTCTGTTTATACTCTGTGCATTAAAGTTTGAGAACTATTGCCATGATGAATACAAGAAGAGACAGAACACAGACTCTTATCTGGAAGAAAGGACAGGGGCTTACCCACATAACATGCCCCCCAAAACAACAGAGACACAGATGGCATGAGTTCAAGCTTGGAAGTCCTCAGCAAGGAGAATGTTTTAGGAGCTCAGAGACTAGAGATGGCTGTAAAGTTAGGGAAAGCTCCTCACAGAGCTCGGAGTTTGAGCTGGGATTTGACAGCTATCTGGGATGGCATAAGCAGAAAAGAGGAGCGCAGGGGATGTACCAAAAGTAAGTTGAGAGCAACAAATGTATGAATATAGGGAGAGAAAGTGGTCCGCCTACCTATGAGGATTGTGGGCTCTGGAGTCAGATTTCCTGGGGCATTCACAGTCTCCTTTATTGGCTGATTTCAGATATTTCATCTGTAAAATGGGAATAATAATAATAATAATCATATCTACATCAAAAGATTGTTGGGAGGATCATATAATGAAGTTATCCTCGGTGGTCTGCGGGTGATTGCTCCAGGATCTCCACCAATATCCCCAAGGATGCCAAGATTTGCTGATGCTCAAGTCCCTTCTATGAAAGGGCATAGGGTTTTCATATAACATATACACATCCTCTCATAAACTTTAAACATCTTTAGTTTACTTATAATATCTAATACAAGGTGAATATTACATAAATAGTTGTTTTTACTATATTGTTTAGGGAATAACGACAAGGGAAAAAGTCTGAATGTGTTCAGTACAGATGCATTTTCTAAAAAATATTTTCAAATTACATCTTGTTGGATCCACAGATGGGGAACTCATGGTTACAGAGGGCAGACTGCATAATGCGTAGCACAATGAATGTTCGGTGAATATTAGCTGTTATTACAAAGCCCAGAGGATCACCTGACGGAAGTGAAATGTTCTGTTAGGAATTGTGAGAGCTTTGGTTGAAAAATATAGATGAGCTCAGGTAACAAGGAACATCAAGCCTCCAGGCTTAGGAGTTTAGATTCAGTCTAAGAGGCAAGAGAAAGCCAGAGAGGGAGCTCTTAAAGAAAGAGTATGACATCGCGAACACTTCCTTAATCTGTGTATAACCAGAATGTTGAACAAGGAGGACCCTTGAAATGTAATCACAAAGAGACTTTGGACATCTACCATCTCATCAAAACAGGGCAAGTTCTTCTCCTGCTCATGGTTTCAATTTAATAATGAATAATGTACAGGACCAATGTAATAATAAAAATTTCAAAGTTAAGCCTCATCTATTTTCCAGCAGATTGCCTCCAAGTGGCAAAAAGGTGGTGCTACCTTCTAGACTCATCTCTTCTTGTCCTTCTGCTGACTGTGACTTCTGGCTCCTCTATGGCTGAAGGAGGCCAGGGTGACAGCTAAAGGAAGCAGAAAGTGCTTGTGTGACTGCTGCTATTCTAATAAGCTGGGCCTTCAGAATTTGGGGACTATCTTAGGGTTGACACACTCACGGGCCTCACCCACCCTTGGGAAGAATGGCATCCACAGCCACATCACACATTGCACTTGCAGAAATCTCTCAGTCTCCATTCCCAACTCTTTTATACGATACAAGTGGGAGTTTCTTGAAAGTCTAAGAATTTGCTTGGCTGCTGACTTTGAAATTTTTTGCATGGTTGTATTTCAAGATGCAACATCTATTGTCTTCTTGCCTTAGTGAAACTGAGACAGAAGAGTCTAATTTTAGTATCTTGTTGGACACATGTCCCCAGCATAGCACAGTACCCTCCCATCAGTGATTAGTGACTGGTGCATTGGAAAGATGGATCTAGCTGTTTGTAATGAGGCACTGGTATGAGGTGGAAGAAAAACCACTTTGGATCAGGCATGATAAGAAAAAAATTTGAGTAGATTAATCAGAAAAGAGAAAATTTAGAAGGTCAAAGTGGTTTTCCTTAATGTAGGTAAGGAAAAAGACTATCACGTAGGAAAAGGAAATACAATTCATTTTGTTGAAAAGGAAGTATCAAAATGAGTGGGTAAATATGCAGAGAAACACATTTGGTTTCAATACAAGACTTTCCCACTCTCGGTGGCAGGATAGCCTGTTCTTGCAGTGAGTGCCCCTTCACTAGGAGTGTACATGCAGAGACTGGATTCCCTCTACCCATCAGCCTGTTTCACCACAGACTTCCCCTCTCAGGAAATGACATCTACTGCCTGAGCCCAAACCTAGAAGTCATCCTGAATCCATCTTTTCCTTTGTCTCTAAATCCAGCCCAACCACAAACCCTAATACTTCCACCTGTAAAATATCTTAACATATGTTTGTTCACTTGTCTCCAATTGCACTGCCCTCACCTGTTCCAGGCTGCCATTATCTCTCAGCTGGACTCCCTATGTCTCCTCAGGAGTCGCACAATCCATTCTCCATACATTAAGTAGCTAGAGTGATCTTATGAAATGCAAAACAAATCGTATCACTGACTTGCTTAAAAGTCCACCCCTCTATGGCTTCTCCTTGAACTTAGACTAAACCTCCAAGTTCTCGGTCCACCCTACAAAGCCCTGTATCATCTGGACATACCTGCCTGTCTAGACTCACCTTTTCAGTTCTCCTCTGAGCCGACTGCACTTATAACACATGAACCTTTTGGGGCTCGCACACAAAGCTAGGATCATTCCCACACAAGGACCTTCACACTAGATGTCCCAACCTGGGCTGTTCCTGGAGCTTAGCATGGTTTTCTCTTTCTGTTCCTCTGGAACCAAACTGGAATGGCACTTTCTTGGAGATGATCTCTCTAATCACTCATTTAATGAAGAGTTTCATCCTGCCTCCATCACTGTGGAAAATGATTTCACTATTTATGTATTATTGGTCTGCCTGAGTATAATATACACTGCATGAGAAGAAGGACTTTTGCCTTCTTTGCCAGGTCTTTGTCCCCAGCATGCATAACAGGTTCTCACTAAATATCTGCTGAATAAATGAGTGATTGGACATTAGAAAGAAAATTCCAGTCATAAGAAAAGGTGAGGCTAAACCTCTGATGTCACTTCAAAGTCTGTATGTTGGGTGAATGAATTAATAGAAATGAAGAAAGAGGATTATATCTGAGATGTGCTTGGAAAACAAAAGTGATGAGACATGATATATTGCCTGCACAATTGGATATATGACCAACTCAAGAATAGAAACCAGGAGAAATTTGGAAAACTTCTGAAAAGTGATTTTTCACAGGAAAAATTTTAAGGTAACTTTTGGTCATGTTGATTTTAGATTGAAATATGCCAACAGAGTTTGGGGAAGGAAGTTTGGGCTAACAGTGTGACTTGGGAACTATAAAGCGAAGTGTTGATCATTAAGCTGGGAGACCATGCTCATTTGGAGATAGTTGATGACAATAAAAGTAGAGAAGCTCCCTGAGCACAGGGCCAAGCCATGAGCAAGAGCTGAGACTCAATACAAATGACAAGAGACTGAGAAGAGAGAATGATGCCAAGAAGATAAAGCATGCAGAAAGAGGAGGAGTTTTGGGAGCCCATGTCCAATAAATTTAGAACAAAAATTTCAAACAAGAGGTGAGGGCAAAGTGAGAAGAAACTTTTACCGGTTAAACTTGGGCATGTGAGCGCGCGCGTACACACACACACACACACACACACACAGCATATAGCACAGCAAAGATAGGACAGAAAACGTGGGTGACCTTTAAGGGAAATTTCACTAATATAGTGGAATAAAAATCATATTTCAAGAGATTAGAGAGGGAATGAGTGGTGAGAACATGGATAAGTAGATGAAGAAAGTGCCAATCATTTAAAGATAGATACAGGAGAGGCAGACAAACTGAAAAGCGGCTGGAATGGAGGTGTATAATAGGGTGTCTGGGGGTTTAAAGTTGGGGTGTAGCTCAGGGGTGGAGCACTTGCTTACCCTGTGTGAGGCTCTGGGTTCATCTGTGGGGAAAAAAGGATCTGTTCATTAAAGGAGAGTGGGGAGAAACGTCAAGAAAAGGCGAAGTATGGGGTCCATACCTCAGGTGAAACAGTTATCTTCAGAGAAGAGAAGAGTCCCCACCGGAGCTGGCCATCCGGGCTGTCGGAATCCTTTTTGGTTCTTGTTCCAAGGCAGCTCTCTCCTCTCCTCGAAAGATGTTCCAAACCTCCTCTTCCTGCCTCAGACGGCCACCCCTCATTCGTAGCACATGATCCTGCTTCTCAATACAGTGAGGAGAAAGAAAGCCTCAGATGTTCCCTCCCGGAGCACACTCTGGCTCCTGGGTCTCAGCAGACAGCTCAGGTCTACCTCTCGCGCGCTTCCCTTCTTGTGCACCAGCATTTATGCCTGTTACTGTCTTAAGGGGCCACCCAGCCCCTTGGCAAGATGGAGTATGAATGAGTTATCACGTTGATAAAAGTACATCTCACCACGTCCCAAAAAATAGCCTTTACAAATATGAATCAGATAGTATAATTTTCCTGCCAGAAACCCTCCCACATTTCCATGGAGACAGGAAGCTGCTTCCTGACTGTGACCCCCCTGCCTGGCCTGGTTTGGGGCCCTGGTGCCCCTCAGCACTTCCCCACCCTCCCACGCAGCCACCTCCCTGCTCTCCTCCCCTGTGCCCAGCTGGCTCCAGCCTGAAGGCCTGAGCACTGACTGCCTCTGCTGAGTGTCCAACACCCACATCTTCCTGCACACGGGTCTGCTCACTGCCCCTTCCTTGCAGGGCCAGGGCCAGGGCCAGGGCCAGCTGTGTAATTTGCAGAGTTCAGTGAACAATGAGAATGTAGGTCCCCTTGTTCAAGAAGTAAGAAGAAAATCTTTCCCCTTCTTTCTGTGGTTTCTCTCCATCTATGATGGCTTTCGATGCCACTGAATGTCATCTTCTCTTGGGCACAAGGACACCCATGGACAGAACTTCATAGATGTTCCCAGCCTGGGACCTGAACCCACAGGGTGGCACTCACATACCCCACTGAGGCTGAGAGCTGAGGAGCAGGCAGCCAAGACCCCAAGGAGGTGGGACTTTGTATGGGTTGAGGCTCTGAGCCTCCAACATGCACTCCTTTGTCAGACTTCGCCTACAAATCACAAACTCAAAACATACTAGGATGCAATCCCTATGAGGACAAGAACCTTGTCTGTCCCACTCTGTATGCCAGGCGTGTAGTTGGTGCTCAATAAATAGTTGTGGAAAGAATGCATGAAAAGTCCACAGAATCAGTTCAACAGTTGGCTTACTTTCAGTCACACTTCATGACACCATCATGCTTTTTTCCATAATGTTCATCATGCCATATTTTGCTGCACTTAAACTAAGAATTTTAAAAATTTCAGATCTAAAATATGTTGCATCTTTGCCAAGTCCTCATTTTCATCTTTCAAAAGAGAGATTAAAAACTGAAGTACTTATCCAAGAGAGGAAATAATAACAAGGACGGTCATATTATCTTCTGTTTATTGTGCATCAACAGTACTGCAGCAGACAAGCCAAGAAGAATAATTCTCTCTCTTGCTCTCATTCCACAGCATTGCTTTGCATAGCTTTGCTTTCACAGTGTTGCTAGGAGTCAAAGTTCAAGTGCAGGTAGGCTCACCCTGCTGGAAGCCATGTACAGTCCTCTTCATTGGAGCATCTGGCAATCTTTAGAGGCTCCAACCTCTCATTCATGTTTTGGGCTCCCAGTTCTTTTAAGAGCTTTTGGAGAGAAAAACTATATATATTTTCCACCTCCTGGTACACCCATTCCTTGCTTCTCTGATGCCTAGTTGTCCTTTGTTTTCATCTAAATGTTCTTTTCTCAGGGAAGTCTTCCTCAGGTGCTCAGACCCAAGTCATCATACTTTATTATAGCGCCTGCCCTTCTCCTTCAGTTTCCACAGTCTCAGTGGCTTGCTTGGCTGTGTGATGATTTGTTCAATGACCATCTCCCTTACTAGGCTGCTAGCTTGGAGAAGGAAGGGACTGTCTTACCCAGGAGCACTGAGCCCCCTTCCTAACAAAGGTCTGTCTCTCAGTAAATATCTGATGAGTGAACATGCATCCCCTAGTGCTTGCTGGTGATATTTGACAGAAGCTCTATAGGTGTCTGTGGAATTATATTGGGAAAATATTATTTCTTTATCTCAGCAATTATGACTTGCTTAGAATGAGTTGTTTTTCCTTGTTATCAAAATAAAAGACAGCTTGGATAATTAAGCCATTTCCCAAAGAATGGTCCTTCCTAAGGGGAAGACCAAGCTATTGAGCCACCAGGAGGTAATAAATGAGCAAGTCCTTGGTAACATACAAAGCTCAAGGATGCCCACAGGTGAGGCCATTTGTCCTTCTATACATTTCCATCACCCACCCTGCTTTCTCTGCTTCCAGGCCTTGCCTGTTGTACGCTCTATTCAAAGCTATTATTTATGGCTGAGCTTCGTATCCCTTAAAATCATTATTTTCCAGCTTCTGGAGCCGTTTGATACCAAAAGTAATTATAGGCAGACTTTTGAGACAAAAAGCTAATTCCTTTATGGCTTCTTCTGTCAGAATAAAGACTCTAGAGGTAAGGATTCAAATGAGGCTGAAGGTTGCAAATCATACTGTGCAAGAGGAGAAATTTTTCTTCGTCAAGGCAGCGGGGCTCTTCCTCTCTCTATCACAGGCAGAATCAATAGTGACAAATGGCAAGGCCAGCCACAGATGCTTTGGTCCAGCGACCAGGTGTCGTGTTAACTCTTCATAGAAGATTTACCTTTATTTGGTGATTGTTATTTCGGCCCGTCTTTTATGTTTTCATCTATTGATTCTCTATTTAGCAATAATGGTACAGGCAATGATAAATGATATATGTCAACAGCAATATCCAGGACAGCGGTTATCACTTTTTTAAAGTGTTGGGTGGATTTTGTTTTTGTTTTTAACCAAGTGAAGCAGGTGTCGTCCACCAGTCATGAAGTTTGAGGGTCCTGGTCTTTCAGACCGAGTGCTGTAGAAGCTGCTATCACATTGTCCCTGTGCCCTACTTATGGCCACCTCTCCTTACCCTCTTCACTCTGGCATGTCTCCCTGCTGTAACATTAATCACAGCATGCCTTGTCAAGTGGCTCTGTGGAGAAACCACATTCTATGAAATGTAATTTATGGCCTTAATACTGTTAACCATATGGCGTCCTTTATATTATTGAAACTGATTAGGCAGTAGCTATAATGTAATTTCATATATATATGTATATACATACATACAACTTTTCTCATTTGAGTTTACATTTTATCAAGGTAACATGAAGCACTGCCCTCATCAAATGCAATTATGCCCTGTTTGTTTCTCTAAGACATATAATCAAATTTCTTTCCCTCCAAAAGGCTCATTTAGCCATTTTCCTCTGGCTCCGTATCTGAGTAATGGAGCCAGAGCTGAAAGGTTCAAGGACCTTGGTGTGTGGTGGCTGGAGATGAGAGAGATTGAATCTGAGCTCCAATTGTCCTGTTACAGGAACTGAAAGACTTCATAAAACATTAATAGCCTTGTCTTGAGTGTTCCCTGAAAGGGACAGCAGAGTCAGCTGACACCAAGAATTCAATACAATTTGGGGTCCTAAATGAGAAGCACTGATGTGAAAACAGGTGCTGTTGAGTCCTGTTTAGGACCAAGTTCAAGTGGAAAGACCTCTCCTCTCCACTGTAACCCACATAGGCTGCAGCAGGTCCTCAAACATTCAGCTCCTCCACCACTGTGCAGTCCTCACTAGCGGTCCCCACCTCCAGCTGTACTTCCTTGTTCATACAGTTTCTTTCTCCCACTGGCCTTTGATCTCTGAGAAGGTGCAGCCTCTTCACACTCCTGCCTTTAAAGCCTAGCACAGTGCCTGGTACACAGGTTGCTCAGCTAGAAGCCACAGGCTTTACCAACAACCAAACAAGTGCTTTGGTCAAGTTTCCTTGGAGATTCAGCCTTCTTTTGAAATTTTTTCCTTACTTAAAAAATTTTATTATGGAAAGTTTTGAAAATATACAAAAACAGATGTTGCGATATATGTCAATTTACACATCCTCCATGGCTAAGCCTAAGCAATCCACACCTCACCCTCATCCCTGATCATATTGTTTTGAAGTACATCCATATTCAGATGACTTCATCTCTAGATATTTTGGTTTGAATCTCATGAGAACTCATATTTTTTTTTAAACAACCACAATGATACCTTCACATCTAAAAGAATAATTGTAATTTCTTAATGGCATCAACTCTCCCGCCAATGCTCCAATTTGTAGTAGCCTAAATGTCACATAGTTTGGATCAGGATCCAAATAAGCACACATAGTAATTGGTTGATATATCTCTTAAGTATCATGTAATTTATAGGTTCCTGCCCATTTCTTTTATTTTTAAACTATGGTGAGATAATTGTAGATTCACCGGCAGTTGTAAAAAATAATGGATAGAGAAGCCTAAATCCTTTACCAGTTTTTCTCAGTGTTAATATTTTGCCCAACTATAGGACAATATCACAACCAGGAAACTGACCATGATACAATATGCCAACCTTATTTGGATTTCAGCAATTCATTTCAATGTGTATTTCGTTCTATGCATTTTTATCACATGTGCAGGCTTGTGGGACCACCTTCCAGTCAAAATACAGAATGTGTTCATCCCAAAGAGTCTTCGTGATACCCTTAATAGGCACCCTCCCTTTTCTCCCTAACCCATTCCTCTGTTCTCCATCTTGATCATTGAACCCAGGGCCTCACCTATGCTAGGCAAGTGCTCTACCAGCGCTACACCCCCAGACTCCCCATTGCTATAATTTTGTCATTTTAAGAATGTCATATAAATGGAATCATACAGTACGTAACCTTTTGGGATCCTCCCCCACCCCATGTAATTCCTTTAAGATCTGTCCAAGTTATCGTGTGTACTAATAGTTGGCTCCTTTCCATTGCCAGGTAGTATTCCACAGAATGTTTATACCACAGTTTTTTTAACCACTGACTCACTGAAGGGTTGTTTCCAGTTTTGGGTGATTCTGAATAAAGTTTCTGTGAACATTGATGTGTAGGTTTTTGTGTAAATGTAGATTATTGTTTCTCTGGGACAAATGCCCAAGACTGTAGTTGCCATATCATTGATAACCACATGTTTTATAAAAAACCACCACAGTATGTTCCAAATGGGTGGACCATTTTACATTCCTATCAGTATTGTAGGAGTGATCCAGTTTCTCTGTATCCTCACCAGAAGTTGGTGTGATTACTTTTTATTTTGGTGACTTTGCCAGGTATGAAATGCTATCTCATTCTAGTTCTTATTAAATTGTAACATTAAAATAATACACTTTTTTGTCCTAGTATAAAATCTCATGGAAGACAAGACAAAGCTAATGTGTTGGTATGTATCCTTCAAATATTTTTTCTTCAGGTATATCTATTTTTCTACCTATAATTTAT